GTTCAGAAATTTACGACAAAATGCCCTTTTTAGTTACACCCTGTAATTAGCTACAACTTGACGAAAAATTAACGAAATTGATGCAAAGGTTAAAAAGTTATTTCAAATTTAATTTGAACAAAACTTTGTTCGTCCGGTCAATTTTGTGTGGCAGTGTATTTAGAAAAACCGAGCAGATCTCAAGCATGGTGTCTCACTGTTTCTAGTATCAGGTATTCCGCACTGCTGCATGGCTGAAGTTTATATGCTGTACCATTTATAAATAATTGCTTTGGTTTCTTTTCCTTATTTAATTTATTCCTGTGTATCAACAATAACTAAGCGATGCACATCGTAACAGAGATAGTAACTCTGTCCTGTTGAACGTAAGTATACCCAGTACGACTGGCTCCTTGATCATCCTCTCCAGAGCGAAAATCGTACGGCGGTTTTTCACTTTGGTAGGCATGTCATCCAAAGAATGCACTTAAACTACACAATTTGTTCTGAACTAGTTCGGAACAGCTTGTCGGAATAAACCACTCACCTTTGCTCGAACGCCTGTGATATCCAGCTTGCGTAGGCGCAAGGCAGAAGACACGGCATCAGGGTTATATTCAGATTTAGAAATACACCCTCTTGCATGGAAACTTTTCTCCGTGAACTCTCTGCATATATATTAGGTATGTATACAGATATACGTGTATTAACAAACATTCGCTATACGCGAGCGACGCGAAGTACAGTTCAGTCAGCAGTCGAATGCAAACTTCCCGCAAGAGTTTGGAACATCTTTTCTATCAGCGCATAACAAGGAAAACACTATATTGTATCGAGGAAACCAAGTACCTATCATATTCTCAATCAGCCTTCAGAATGCGACAGCTCCATTTCCTTTATTTTGATAATGACTGGTCATAAACAATGATTAACTATAACACCCGGTGACATTATTCCTTTTTCGCGCGGCGTGTGGAAAAGTAACTTTTCCGCGCGGCGTGCGGAAAAGTTACACTTTCAGCACGCTGGTAGAAAAATTAAAATCGTCCGTAACCGAGGTAGTTTGCAAGTAATAGCGACAAAACACGGGTTCATAAATATCCACCAAGTACATTATGCGACAGTTCAATCGACATGTTCACATTTTGTTATTTTCAATAAAATGCTAAGTAATTGCTGTCATACCAATCCTTGTATCAGATTTTGTCCATGCTTATACTAGGAGCTAAATCGTTCTTTTTAATTCATCGAATTTGCAACCATAACGCAAATACTTTTTTTAATGATGGAATTTGCGTCAACTTTTGTATCCAGACGCTTATGAAGAAATAGTTTTTCTAGCTAAATCATAAGTAACAGTATTTCTTCATTTAATTCTCTAGAAACGGAATAGTATAATGCAATATTACATTTTCTATCAGCGACCAACGGGGGACCGCCTAGCTTATGTCGACAACTGTAGGTCAAAGTCCTCCAATCACATGGTGAGTTGTAGCATGCTGCCCTCCTATGCAAACTTCCATCCTATGATCACCCAGATAAGCTATGTAGATGGGTGGCTGATTTGTCCTTTTTCCGCAAGACATCCGTCATCATTGGCGGGCTGCTCCCTCCACCCCACAAAGTCAACGCGGGTGTTTCCCAGGGATGACTCCAGCATTGTTTCTATTACATATCAACGACCTCTTCTCCTGTGTGATCATTGCTTTCACAGTTCTGCTGTTGATAGGAATTTAGAGTGCCTAGCCGTATTCTTCCAAAACACAGTACTTTAAACAAGAAGTGTCCTAGTGCCCATCAGGTTTCGATGGGTGACCAACTTCTACCAAAGAGTTCACTTTAGCTGCTCGGAGCGCAGATCACCATTAACTTGGTCGGGCACGAACACATCTCATCAATCGCGGTAGCTGCCGGGAAAAAGCTGGACTATTTGTTTAAGGCTGAAGGGTAACTTTTCTCCACATAGCCTCCCCACTCTGTACAACGGCCAGATAAGACTTAGCCTCGAGTACTGCTCACATGTTTGGGGTGCTGCAGTTGCGACTACAATGTTCATGTTCGACGCTGCTCAGAGGACTAATCGGTGACACTTCTCCAATGTACGGTATCGGGATACTCTCGCTATGTCAGCGAGCTTTGCTCCTCAGAGCTCTTCTCCATGACGCCGCCACGCGATGAGCCTGCCAAACAGACTCGTCAGACTTCGGCTGCCCATCCTAACTGTGTTCCGGTATCTAAACTTCTGCATACACGGTTAGTTCGATATAAGAATAAAGCCAATAATGGCTCAAAAATCAGATTTTCTAAAAGCCTAGACCTTTTATCTGAAAAAATATAATTCATCCTGATTTTTTTAAAATCATTTCTTTGTTTAGTTTACTCAACAATAAGATTTATTGTCGCTTAGGTAACTGTTATCGTGCTACATTTGACTGTGATTTCTGCCACACCAATCTTTAGTAGCTGAACTGATACATGCAATGCCATACCAACAAAATACTCCATATTTTTTATTCTCAGACGTAAGTTGAGTAGATAGTTCTGAACTATCACTATCCATACAAGCTGAGAAGCTGTGGTCTATAGGTAAAACAAATATATATTGAAAGAATTGATGTCTACATATAATTGCGATGAGTCGACTCACCTGTTTTTTCAAAAATAAAGATACTGTTATCGTAGCGCACCATTCGGTCTAAACATATACGCATTCTAGCCATTATACCTAAAAATACTGTAACCATATTATTTGAAATATGTATCTATCTGGCTAAATTTAGGCTCCAACTCATGAGCTTGTAAAACAAATGTTTCTATGTTGATGGCAACAATTCAAACGTCTCAAGTTTATTTAAAATAGCGCCTATGAGTTATGTTTGTATAGAGGTGAAATTATGTTCTCTCGACATAAACAGATATCCGTTAAATTCCAAATGAAACCATAAACGTATAAATTACTCTTATTGACGTTTTGGATATCATGTTTTTTTATACTTGAACCGCCACGAAGGCCTAAGGCCTCAGCACTCATGGGTATCGTGGGGCTGTTAGGGGATACAGGGGAAAGGGGGGACGCCACATGCGCATATTCCGGACCCGCTTTAGAAAGCCGCCGACTGGTACCTCCACGTTCAACAGTCAGAGAAAGTGTAGCACCTACAGAAAATCACAATATCCATGACCAAGACAAAGATTCTCTTGGGTCGGGATTCGAACCCGCGCAGCGCACGGTAACTGATTACTAGATCCATAACGTCTACCACTACGCCTCTGCCACTTAGAAACAAAAGAAAATGACTACTTTTAGATATCTTCCATATTTTTTTAAGTATACTACGACCTAAAGTTATAAAGAACAGTGAATAGCATGCGAACCCGTAGAAGAGTGGAGAGAGGCAGGAGGGATATTGACACTCTTTGCCCGTCAACTCGGAGTACATATGACAATATATTTTATATTCATCATCGGTTATGATACAGTGTGTACAATAGCCTGCTATATCATGCCATACCGTTACAATTTATTTTAAGATGGCATCGTATAAAATCAGCAAGGCCCAGGACTGTACTTTGAGACAGGTCACCGTGGTGGCCTTAACGTCAGTAAAGATTAATTCCTACATGTTGTTTCATTTGGCCAAAAAACCATTATCAGCATAAAAATCACAAGATTCATTTCAGAAGTTGCATTATCCTAGGTATCAGTAGGCTGGATTTCTAAATCAAATATTTTCTAATGCTCAATTTGCCTGATAAATTAAACCATTATTAACAATAACCGTAATAATAATAATAATAGTAATAATAATAATAGTAATAATAATAATAGTAATAAATAGTAATAATAATAAATATACTGAGTGACATATAAATCCGAACACCCAGTTTAAATGGTTTTATTTTAATAAAATTTTGTATAAGTACTTAATGAAGCATAATAAGTAAATGATAAAAATTTCAAAATGATTGCACTGCTTTAAAGCCCTTTGACCTTTAATAATGTGTGGATGCACCCTGATGTGCTACGCATTCTCCAACGCGCCTAGGCATGCTTCTGATCAGGTGGTCAATATCCTCCTGTGGTATCTCATTCCAGGCAACCACCAACTCCTCTCGAAGTGCTTCTAGAGTCTGAGGAGGACGTTGCAAATTGAGCAATCCCCTACCCATCATATCCCACACGTGCTCAATTGGGGATAAGTCGGGAGATCTTGGTGGCCATGTTAACAATGTGACATCATTATGTTGAAAGAAGTCTATTGTGACTCTTGCAACATGTGGTCGGGCATTATCTTGTTGGAAAGTTGGATCTGCCAGGGTGTCAAGATAGGGTAAAAGATGGGGTTCTAGAACTTCGTGGATATAACGCTGCGCGTTCATGTTACCTCTGATGAAGATTAAAGGTGACCTGGAACCATAAGCTATAGCACCCCAAACCATAACTCCAACAGTGTGATGAACATGTCTTTCAACAAAAATCTGCGGATTCCTCCTTTCACCACGTCGCCTTCTAACCCTGGCACGACCATCGTGCATGCCTAAACAAAATCGAGACTCGTCACTAAAGACAACACTGTTCAATTCCTGATCAAAGAGTGACCGTTGTCTGCACCACTCAAGGCGATTACGTCGGTGTTCTCGAGTTAAAGGGAGGACCCAGTGTGGCCGGTATGAAAACAAGCCAAAACTTCTCATTCGTCGGTAAACACTTCGCATGCCAATAGGTCTTCCGTGTTCTGCAAACCATTCATTTGCAATGGACCTGGTAGTGGAGAAACGGTCCCTTAAGGCCAATAATCTCAGACGGCGATCTTCACGGTCTGTTGTTCTACGGCGGTGTCCAATGCCCCTTGCTCTTTGCGTACGGCCTTCTCGAAGCCATGCCTGACAACACCTAACCACAGTGTCTACACTTCTTTGCACTCTAACTGCAATTGCCCGAAAAGAAAGTCCAGCTTCCCGAAGTCCCACTATACGGCCCCTATCAAACTCACTAAGTTGACGAAATCGTACAGGTCTCCGTACTCCAGGCATCGTAACCGATCGTAAAGGATGTCAAGAACCAAAATCCTCCAACGTTCATTCTTTACTGCGGCTGAAGTATTCATTTTTAGAGCGTTAGTGAATTAAAAAAAGCAGTATAAAAACCGGAATGTCCAACTGATAATTCTGAAAATTTTTTCACTTGTAATTTACAGTAAGATAGATACATTCACTAACTTTTATTAAAATAAAACCATTTAAGCTGGGTGTTCGGATTTATTTGTCACTTAGTATAATAATTAATATTAATAATAAAAAATAACTAATAATAATAATAACAATAATAATAATAATAATAATATTGGTATTCCAGTTACAGATAACTATTATCAGCATGAAATCCAGAGTGTCACCAACATCAAGAATGACACCACTCATGTATGTATTATGTGGGATGTGCCGGTAATAACGGATCGGACAATAAAAGCAAACCGACCTGACATTATAATTCATGACAGAAAGGAGAAAACATGTCAAGTAATTGATATAGCGGTTCTATCACCAAAACCTTCCACGGAAATTGTGACTCAATACCTGGTAAACCAGCACTCTACCAAATTCAAAAGACGGCACTACTAGGAACAGCGCATATACTAAGGAAGGTGCTTGGATAGTCTCTTTGATACCTGGTTGATATCTGGTCTATCCTTTATTACCAGACAGATACGTCTGTGGAAGAAAAGAATAAATAATAATAATAATAATAATAATAATAATAATAATAATAATGATAGATCCGTGTGGAGTTTCGGAGAAAGAATGGAACAAACCGACCAAGATCAATAGGTTACCCGGTGCGTGGTGACACCGCATGTGTAAATCCGATGCCAAGGGGTACTAACGGCCGGCAGACTATATCCCCGGGAGGGAATTTCACTTCTTTCCAATGTCGGTTGGGGTCTTGGATGGCCAACTACCACGCTAGACCTTCACTCTATTGTTCCCAACACAACGAGGAGAAACCTCTACACCCGTCCCCAATCAGAAGGGGACTTAGGGCAAGGTGATGAGGTACGATGGCTCAATGACGACGACCGCACGAACTTGGACCGCTTTAGGCTGAAAGGTTCAAGGCTCGCTGAGAGTGAAAGCCACACTGTAGTCTCACCTGGGGATACTAATGACCGAAGGGCCTTACAAAACATCAAGAGACGCTTGCAGCTGGCGGACCTATGCCGAGAGGACGAGGTCCTTCATGAGCGACTCTCGGGGAATCTGACGTTTGGCGTATCAACTGCGAAGCTTACGCTGCGGCTCTGAGGTTGTGTGGAAAGGGAAGAGTAAGAGACTCTCATGTCGAGAGAGCACAGCTAAGAGCCCTTTTCCATGATGCCACCGCGCGATGAGTCTGCCTAACAGGTCCGTCTCACTCCAGTCTCCCATCCTAATCGTGTCAAGCTATGCTGACCGCTGCTTGTCCCTAGAATGTCAAGATTGTGGAGTAACCTGCCTGGGGAGGCTTTTTTCCAGTTTTACTTATCTTGTTCAGTTTAAAGACCGAACAAACAAGGTATCATTAAGTTCCTAATCGTAGTCGCAGAGCCTCGGTATTTAGGCTGCTGAGATAATGAAATAAATGAAAATACCTTTCCCAGTTTCGAATCATTTTTTTTGGACAGACTCAACCAAATCAGTTTTCAAAATGTTTGGCACATGTACGTAGCCCGATGAAATAGCGGTAGAAGAGAGACAGATCACCGAAGGGTCACAGTGCGAAATAGACTCGAGGCTGTCCGATAGAGAAGAGTCACCGATCAGTCGAATATCCCTTCTCTGAAAAGTATCGAGTATGAATAATGTACGAGTAGCTGGAGCGGCAGCATCCCAAACATATGAGCAGTAGTCGAGCCTAGATCTTATCTCGGACTCGCACAGAGTAAGAAGGTTATATGGAGAAAAGTATTTCTTAGCCCTAATCAAATAGCCTAGCTTCTTACCAGCGGCTCCGCTGTTGACGTAATGTCTTCGTCCAGATCAAGTCCTCGGTAATATGGTCTCCGGCCAGCGTACATGAACGGCTTTCTGGTAGAACTCGCCAAAGCGGATGAGCGCTCGGGTACTTTTTGTTAGTCAAGATCCAGTACTGAGTTTTGAAAGCGACTGTACTAAATTTTTGTATCTGTTGGTGTAGAAAGTCTTGCCTGTCGCTAATCCAGCTGTGATGTTCAAGATACTCCCCAGGCAGAAATGTTTTGCGATATGAGATATAAAATGAATTCTGAAGGATTCCGTAAAATTTTCGGATATCTCATTGACCTAATAAACTGACAGAGATTAACGCAAGTCAGATCCAATCAACCCAATAAACGTTTCCGCCAACTCAAACAGACAAGCGATAAAACACGTTGACCCAGGTACTGAACACGAAAGCACCTGGAAAATTCGGTGTCAATTTACAACGGGACGGCTATCGTCCCGACCGCAAAAACACGGATTGGGTTTTCTGTTAATCAAGTAAATGGCTCAAAGACGTAGGATCATGCATATACTACGTAAGGATTAAAAATTCCAGGCTTTGAGTAAGAAAATAACGTGAAAATAGATAGCGCGAGCATTCTGGGAAAAGTTGGTTTTAATAAAGGTAATGACATCGATAGGGGATAGAGGAAGAGCATGAGGAACATATAGGGTGTTTCAAATTAAAACTTCCACCATTGGAATCTCAGAAACTGCAATAGATACGAAATCGCTTAAACGGGGGCAAAGTTGCGTATTTAGGTAATCAGCAAAATACAGCTTAGTTAGCTTCGAAATTCAAAATACGGAAGACTTCAATTGTAGTGGGATTTCAACATAAAGTGCTCATCAACATTGCCGCTTTTTCTCCTCTACATGGAGGCATAACTATAATTCCAATATGACGTTTGGTCTCTTGTCCTGCAGCATCAACTTTATTTTTTCTTATGGACGTCATATTGGATTTTTGCGCAGATGAATAGGTGTTAATCCTGATTTCAGAAATGTATATATCATACATTCACATTGCCAAATATTAGTTATTCTAGAAAAACAGAATTTCCTAAGTAGACCCTGAGTCTGTTAAATTTCATTTGTTTCGACTACCAGACCAGACCTCAAGTGATAGGAGCAGAGTTTGGAATTCCGAGAAGAAGAGAAATAAATCGAACAGTGAACAGTGCACAGAGAAGAGTCGGGCTTTGCCTAAAAAGTAAAGAAATTGAACATCTGCTATGATTCACCTCTTCTGATTTATGATTATCATTACCATCAATAAAATTTTCAAGCTGTGTTCAGGTTTCAGATAGAAACGTCATATTCAGTAGATAAGAAAGAGTGGCAGTGTTAATGTGCAAGTTATTTCGAAAACCCACTTCAAATAATGACAGGAAAAAATTAAAACAAATTTGGGAGAGTTCGTTTTTTCCGTCTCTCTCAAGAAGTAGTTTGAATTTCGAAACTTTCTAAGCGGTATATTGTTGGTTACCTAAATACGTAACTTTGCCCTCATTTAAGCGACTTCGTATCTCTTACAGTTTCGGAGATTCCAATGCTTAGGGTCTAATATGAAACACTCTGTATATATGTTACAGGCAAAGCCCGAAGCGCGGGCAATCCGAGGAATGACTAGTCATTTCGCGAAGTGGCCAGAATATTCGGTCAAAGTCCGAAATACTCTTGAGTTCCGGACATTAACTGCGGCTCTTTTAGTCAATCCTAGGAGTGACTGACCCACCTCGTCAAAGTCCGAAACGAAGAAACGCTCATCGGACTCTGACTAGGCGATCCTAGATGTGGCGAAAATCGGACTTGGACTAAATAATGTTAATTAAATAATAAACATTTATTAACAAAATATACTTCTCATATAGGCACACAAAATAAAAACTCTGTTGAGCGAAACATTTCAAAATGAAATGAAATACCTATCTTAAAATGTTGGATATTATTTTTAATCATTAATAAACTAAAATGTATTTTTTTAATATTAACATAAAAAAAGAAAATTGGCTGAGTTCAACAACGATACAATAGTGCAATAAAATATTAGCAGGTATATAGGTACCTACCTATACCTAAGTAAACTGAGCACACATTTATTTGTTTTGGCAATCATTAGATTTATGGCACTTAGAATTGCATAAAACTTTTGACCTTTTACATTTACACAAATTAGAAATGCATCGTTTACTGCAATCGCATTTAAGAAAACCCTGACCGCCAAATTTGGAATCTTTGCCACTAATTTCTCTTAAAGATAATTTAACATTAGGCACTTCATGAAGACTAAGCAAACGTTCCTTACATTCTTGAATTTGATTTCTGGAAAACAACGTATTAATCGTTCCATGTCTAGTACCTACTTTATAGAACCCGTCCTCAGTTTTCTCTGTTACAACACAAAGCAAATTTCGAGCATCACCTTTAGCCCTATCAACAGAAGGAATTGGTACCGTAACAGTGTTTCCCACTTCAACCGCAGGAAACTTTTGATTTGACAATTTTTTCATAGTATCCGCTTGAGCTTGAAGACCATCAATTGCCTTTTCTTTATTTGCAGACATACATTCTTTTTGCGCACACCTCGGACACGTTACTTTACTTCCAAAACCCTCTTCAGTTTCTAAAGTATTGTCTGCGCAAATCGCGTGGATAATTTGTCCACAGATGCAACAGGTATGTGCACCAGAACTTTCCTCTTGACAAACGCAGCATACATTCGTACCTGTGTGAAAGTCTTTATTAAAATTAGACGAGAAATAGGTTGTCAGGGGAAATGGAAGGTAACTTTACGCAATTCAATAATTATGTGCAGAAGATGTCACTGTTACTGCATCAATTCTTACTCCAATTTCCAATTTCCCCTATTTATGCTAATTTCAGTGTACTAATACCTACCGGTAGGTTCAGAATCTTGTTCCATTAGAACGCCTTCATTTCCTTGAAGCGTCGTTTCTAAAATAGCCCCGTCGCCGTCAGATGGGATCAGGGCATTTTCAAGATCTTCCTCAGTTCGAAGAAGCTTCTTTATTGTATCCGGGAGGGTCTGAATCCCAACATGAGCTTTTCTCCCTGCAACAAGTTAAAAATATGATTTCTTTTCTCATTCCCATAGCCCTTATTTTACATACCAAACATGACTTCAAATGGAGTTTGTTTGATTCCTGTGTGAAAAGCGTTATTTTTCTGAAGTTGGCAGAATTTCAGGCCTTCACTCCATCTGTTGGTCTTGTTGTCTTCCATCCATGCAAACAAAATTTTCTGGACTTCTTGGTTAGCCCTTTCGACGCTACCTTGACTCTCCGAATGGCGGGGTTTTCCATGTACAATAGTCAGTTGAGGCCATAAGGTTTTTAATTCTTCAATTATTCGGTTGGCGAATTCTCGGCCATTATCTGACTGAAGCACAGACGGGGCGCCGAAGGCACAAAAAATGTCTAACAGATTGTAGGCAACTTCTTCTGCGGTCTTGGTTTTTAAGGGACGCAAAATTACGAATTTACTTAAGTGATCCTGATAGTTCATTATAAATTTGAAGTCACCGTCACGGCACGTTTGCATGTCGATCAGATCAACTTGTGCCCGCGCTTGTATTTCCTTAAAAAGCAATGGTTTTACAACCAAACCCCGTTTGGGATGTTTTTTCTTCTTTTGACACGTTTTACATAGGTCTAAATAGATCGAGATACACTCTTTCGTAACATTTGCGTATTTATTTTTCAGCACCTTTATCGTTTGATCCCTACCGCCATGACCACATTCACGGTGAGCTGTGTGTATTACGTCGAACAGTTCCTTGTCTGTGATGTAGAATTTAACGTTTGGGTCGTCTAACACGGGTGTGATCAATTTCTTCACATTTCCAACGTGCCAAATATCATACCTTCTTAATCGTCGGTATTGCAGTGACGTTTTCGTCTTAGCGGCCTTAGCAGTTTCCACTTCAGCAATCAACTCGTCATATTTCTCTTGCGTTTCGATATGGAACGAACCCGACGATCTCTGTACACTACGCACTCTTTCCATAAATTTCACCTTCACTTCATCGAAGTTGTCTTCCTCAACGGTCCCGACAGTTGTCTCACTCATTTTAAATGCAACACAGAAATAAGGTTAGGAACATGTCATCTATAGCAGTGCTTGTGCTCAACTGAATGCGCAACAGTCAGAGTCCGATCTTCGCCCCATCTAGGATTGCCTAGTCAAAGTCCGGAGAGCGTTTCTTCGTTTCGGACTTTGACGAGGTGGGTCAGTCACTCCTAGGATTGACTAAAAGAGCCGCAGTTAATGTCCGGAACTCAAGAGTATTTCGGACTTTGACCGAATATTCTGGCCACTTCGCGAAATGACTAGTCATTCCTAGGATTGCCCGCGCTTCGGGCTTTGCCTGTAACATATACATGAAGCAGTTTTTAGACTAACTAGCAAATGTAGGCTGGAAAAAATGTTTGCTTGTCGTCTCTGTGATCATGATTAACCGTATAGAACGTTGTCTTATGCTTTTTTAGTAATAATCAAGTACAGTATGTTGTAAGCATATAACGAAAGTCTGTTGGGGTCGCGTTTCATTTTCATCAGTATCATTTCTCGCATTTAGAATAAGCCTAGCGATTGCAGGTTATAAGATTTCAACGATCTTCCGAGTGTTGAAAGTCAAAGCATTTTCATCTTTTTTCTTCTCTTAAAACGCGGAGCCGGTTCCTTTCATTTATTTGGCGTCCCGCTTTTTTTGCTTGCATATTACATATAAATGGGACTCGTCTGGATGCGGAATGCCATCTGTCATTTTTATTCTTTCACAAACGAATTTTTAGATGCAGGCGAGGTAGAAAATATGAGTTTCAAAGGGATTCGCTGGATACGGCAGGCAAAATTTCAACGGAAAGCACCGGTATCCTATGTCAAAGTGACAAAACAGTTGAGCTTTTACCGTCGGTACACAAGGCATTGAATTCACGTGCTGCAAAAAACGTGCGCGTAGCATTACTTAAAGCATATGCAACAGCTCGCGCTAGCGACTTATTTTAAGTTGATCATTGTCTTTAAAGCGTTGATGAATTTTCTGCCTCTTGTTGTGAAATCCATTAACTGTAGTATCATTGCATATGTTCCGTTCTTATTTCTTTATATAGTTGCCTTCAATGTGTATATTTGATTTTTAACCTTCTGTAGGTGGGAAGAACTTGTTTTTCTTTACTCTGATGCGATTTTAGCGAATAAATATTAATATTATTTGTGTTCAATGAAACGTGCGTTTTGCAGTGTGACAATCTGGGTTATGATCATATCATGCAAAACGAGAGTAAGGAATCGTGAAAGCGCATCGAAACGAGTTCCGTGTGAGCACCAAGTAGTTGCGCGGTACTGCGCGTTTTATTTCCTTCGATTCGTACACAATTCCTATTCCAACCTCGGAATCGATTCTTCGATTCGTTCTAGATTCCGATTCCGGCCTGGCAATCGATTTGTTGGATCCGTACACAATTCCGATTCCGGCATCGGAATCATATCCTTGCATTCACCATTCCGATTCCGGCTTTGGAATCGATTTCTTTTATTCTTTCAAGAATCCGATTCCTCTCTCGGAATGGAATTTTTCGATTATTTTGCGATTCCGATTCCATCCTCCTTCAATTCATTCATGATTCTGACTCCCGACTCGGAATCGATTCCTTCGATTCGTTAGATTCGTTCGCGCTTCCAATGTCGTTCTCGGAATCAAATCCTGCTATTCATCCACGATTTCGATTCCGGCCTTGGAATCTATTCCTTCGGTCCATTCATGATTTCGTTTACGGCTTCCGATTAACAGGTTGACTGCCATGAAAAATCGTAGTAAATGTCTCTGGTGCCAACTTCAAAAAATAAAGCTTGCACCAGATGCTATACTAAGTAATTAATTTTCTTTGTATTTTTAGCGGTCATCTCTTGCGAGTTTGAACTTCTGAACTTCGGGTCAGGAACATGAAATAAAAATGCTTTGCAATTAGGTTAGTTTGCCTTTTTTTTTCGAAAATAACAGAGATTCCGGGAGCAACTAACACTATTATCACTTCTGAATTACGATAACACCAATCTACCGGAATCCCGACCACAGCAGACCTCAGTAGCCTCAAAAAGAGATCATTCTATATCGATGGAGTGAAAAAATACTGCATAGGCTGCTATGCTGAAAAAGTGCAAGAGTAGGGTGAAAAAAGTTGTTACCGTCATGCGAACGTGAACGTCACTTTTGGTTAGACTGTTTCAACCTACACTTTTAAAATAATATTCAGTCGCGTTATGAGATATTTAATAGCCTTGTTTTGTACTAAATTCCCCAGAGTTCCACCTTGTAGATGTTTTATATATATACAAGGTGGCGCATCGAAAACGAAACAGACGCATTTACTGGCAGCTCAGTTTTTTTTTTTTGAAAAACGCTCAGACCCTTCGATTTTGTTTTCGAAGGGGACACAAGTTTGGCAAAAAATCACGTTAGCATGTGCAGCCCCCTAAGCGGGGGTGACACCACCACCAAAATCTTAACTGGAAAGGGGGGTCGAGTGATACCTTATTTTAAAGGTCTTTCAATTCCCTTTATAATGATGTATAATGTACTTCAGTTCAGTAGTTTTGAAGATTTATTAATTCAAAGCTTAAATAACACTAATACATCATCATTAGTGGAGATCAATACATTTGCAGCAAAGTAATTTAAAAATGAAGAATGAACTAACCCGTTAGGCAAGTAAATGTTGAAAATGGCCACCATGACTCTCCATGCAATCTTGAGGGCCATTCAATTGCACCTCTTCTACCAATCCATCGATCTGGAAACGTTTGATCTAAATATTGACGAACACGTAATGTGTAATGTGGTGGGGCACCATCCTGTTGGAACATCAACCTATTCGCAATGTACCGCCGATCATTCTGATTTTCAATTATGGCTGTTAATGCAGGATCTATGGCGTCTTCCAGTAATTCCAAATACATTTCACCTGTCAAATTTCCAGGTAAGAAAAAAGGATCAACTAAATGATCGCCAAAAGTACCAGCCCAACCATTTAATTTTTGTGGCTGCTGTGTATGAACCTCATGATAAATTCTAGGATTAGAATCGGACCAATATCGGCAGTTATGACGAATTACTACGCCATTTAAGAAAAAGGAACACTCGTCGGAAAAGAAAGTGTTGAATAGAAAATGGTCATCGTTTATAATTCGTTCACTCATATCTTCACAAAATTGTAATCGCCGATCAAAATCGCCTTCATTAAGTTCTTGTACCAGGTGAATTATATACGGATGAAAACTATGGGCCTTTAGAATCCGTTGAACAATACGTCGACTAACACCACACACACAGTCTCCAATTTGCGGGTACTTAACTTAGGATCTACATAAACTTGCCCTAAAACCCCTACCCCTATTGCTTCGTTCCTTATGGGATTTTCAATGTTGCGTTTTTTATTGGCGACTGATCCAGTTTCCCGAAACTTAGCTACAAGTTCTAGAACATATTTTCGATTCACGTTACTGTTCTCATGTCGCTCATTAAATATTTCTGCTGTTCTATTAGCGCAATGATTATTTCCGAAAAATATTTCGATAATTTCAACTCTTTCTGCTGTGGAATATACCATAGTTAATCTATGTGATAAAGCGTAACAAGTTATTTTAGCAACAATGTTTAGTCAAATCAATCGCAAACTATGTACTAAATTCCTATTTAAAATAAGTACGATATATTTCCTTATCTTTCTTCAAGAAATAACTTTTTTGCCACAAAAAAAACGCTCCAATAGCTATTTTGGGCGTAGTAGTGAAGAAAAGCATTTACTTATTAAGCAAATTCTTTTGGTCAAATTTCATCTGAAAGTAGTACAAACTAATCTGATGTACCTATTAAAGTCTACTTTAAGCTTTAAATCAATAAATCTTCAAAACTACTGAACTGAAGCTCATGTATTTTACATCATTATAAAGGGAATTGAAAGACCTTTAAAATAAGGTATCATTCGACCCCCCTTTCCATTTAAGATTTTAGGGCTGGCATCACCCCCGCCCAGGGGGCTGCACGTGTTATCGTGATTTTTTGCCAAACTTGTGTCCGTCTCGAAAACAAAATCGACGGGTCTGAGCGTTTTTCAAAAAAAAAAAACTGAGCTGCCAGTAAATGCGTCTGTTTCGTTTTCAATGCGCCACCCTGTATATATTTAATAAAACTTCAAACTTCAAACATTATTTTCACTTTCCCTTGTTAGATACACCGAAAACCGCTAACTTAAGCTAGGCGTGGATGCCACAGCGGTCTTCTGACAATAATTATATACCTATCAACGACCGCTGGCACAGCATAAATGAATTTTGGAGGCTAGTGTGGAGCGATCGCATACGACCGCCATGGCATGGTGGGTTTATTTACAGTTGGTCGTATGCGACCGCCATGACATTCATTCTGTTAATTCGCAATTTCGATTCAGGAGTTCTTTCGATTCGGTCACGGTTGATATTCCGGCCTCGGAACCGCTTCCTTATATTCGTTCACGATTCCTTTACCCTTTGATTTCAATTCACTATAATTTATATGTAGATAGAAAGAAGCCGTCGCGCCATCACCGGTCGAGACGTTGCGGGTTGTATGCGAGGGTGCCTTATCTACTCGTAGAACACTGATGCGGGCTCGATGCCCACCGAAGTTTATAGAAGAGTCTTCCTTGTTTTCTAAAAATGTCTATCATGAATTTGCTTCTGTTCCTCGTAAAGCTGTGTTACTGGTACTGAAAATTATTTAGTGCAATGTTGTCAACAGCAGAAAGGTACGGATTCGGCAAATACGGGTTAACAAGCTTTCTACTATTTTGAATGACATAAACTTTCGTGAGGTATATGTCAATATATTAAAATAAAAACATAATCCAAACTAAAAAATGTTGCAATTATATGAGTTATATTTGCGCAGAATAAATATATGAATAAATTTATAATATTGAATAAATGGCAACTAAGTAATCGTCTACAATCCAAGCTTCATTATTCCATACCAAATTCTCACTTAGTGCATTCCTCATTTGGAGCCGCTGCAATTAACCCTGTATACTCGTAGTGCAAGACTTCATTCTTTATTAGCAAAGGTAATAAATACCTTAGTTTTTGTGAGCCGGGGCAAAAGCAGCTATTTATATAAGATTTTGTTGATAACAGTTTCCAAAATGGCAGCCAAGTGGTGGTCCTGATAGTGACTACCTCACATGTAGGGTGCACTTAACATTTGAGCGCATTTGAGCGCTCCATATTTTCCAGTAAAATAAGTCGTTTATATATTAGGAACAGTTTTATTTTTTCACATGGAAGGGTTCAAAACATTGTAAGCAAAGTCCAACATTGCACTCCTCTGAATTCTTGTCCTCTTCAACACCTTTCTTCGTACTACTGGTACAATACACACCGTCGTTTTGTACCAGGAACCGGCAAATGTTGACCAACGTTAACCATTCGCCGTGTATTTTCAATGGTTATTTTACGGCCATGTTAAATATAGTTTAACATTGTGCTCGAGAAAACTATACAAAAAGCAAACATAAACAGGGCTGGTTTAGTATGTCACAGAAAGCATCAATGCCTAGCATTTGCTGACGACTTGGTTATTCTGGCCAGAAGTAAAGTCGAACTTATAAACACCGTAAAGAGACTAGAAAAGCACGAAGCAAAGGACTGTACATTAATGTAGAAAAGACAAAGTACATGGAATGGGCAGATAAAGAACTTGTTAAAGGACAGCAGTTGATAATGACCACAACAAACGGAGAAGTTTATAAGTTTGAAAAAGTATATACGTTTGACTACTTGGGCACAGTATTTACATCAAAGCAGGGCAACAGGGAGGAAATACAAAAAAGAATGATGGCTGGAAATCGTGTCATATATGCGCTTAAAAGACTAATAAAAAGCAAAATTATATCCAGGGGAGCTAAAATCAGACTCCACAAAACGCTAATAAGGCCAGTGGCCACGTATGCATGTGAAACATGGACAATAACAAAGGCAGAACAAGCAAAGCTGGAGATATGGGAACGGAAGTTGTTAAGGAAGATTTTTGGTGGCAAAATGTTAGATGATGGTACGTGGACCCGAAGAACAAATGATGAGTTGAAAGAACTGTTTGCTCAACATAACGGCGGTCATAAGAGCTCAGAGGTTGAGATGGTTGTGACACGTGCAGAACATAGAGTACCAAAGACAATGCTTACCCATTCAATAGGAGGGAAGAAAAGGAGAGGCAGACCTAGGACGAGGTGGAAAACTGAGGTGAAAGATGACCTGTTTGTTTGTGGTAGAGGACCCATTGATTTTCTGCCAGAGAATGAACCGATTAGCTGATTAGCTAAAATACTCCTATACTGTGGTTGAGATATAGGTTTCTCCTTAGTCTGTTTTTTGGTATATGAGTAGAGAATATAGCTATTTACAACTGAGGCATCAAAAACAAAGTAAAAAAGTTTCATCCACCATCGCCTGCTTTTCCAAGAGACATTATATGGAGACATGAGCTGATCAAACTTGTCCACACCCAGCATATATTTATTATAATCTGATACCGCACTTGGACAAATAACTTTTCACGATTCCCTTGGACATTTGTTCTAAGAACAGTTGTTTCTTCCCTTGGATCGTGAAAGTTGCTAGCAAGTAGGACTGGTTTGGCACCTCGATCTTTCCTATTGTATACAGAAATATCACCAGCCATGCAATAGTCAGATTCTCCTCGTTTCAAGGATTTATCGTTCCTCATTTTACTTTTTGGGAAAAACTTTTTTATTTTTCCTTAGTGTGCCACATGCAAAAGTATTTTTTGCAAGAAGCATTTTCAGCAATGGAAAACTATTGAAAAAGTTGTCGAAGTAGAGACAGCGACCTTCACCATTATATCTATCAGAGATTGTAAGAACTGTTCTTTCTCCTAGGCTTATACCTGCCTTCTCCTTGCCTTCATAAATCTTGAAACCCAAGTTGTAACCAGCCCGATAACAAGCAATTACCCAAACTTTGAATCCTCTTTTTACTGCTTCCATGGGCATATACTGTTCCAGTGTAGTACGACCCTTGAAACCAACCATACTTTCGTCAATGGAGAGTTCTCTGTAAGGAGCATAAAGAGTAGAAAATCGCTCGTTCAATATGCCAACAAGTGGGCGTATTTTATATAATTTGTCAAAGTTCTCTTATCCTCGCTGTGGCATAACTTCATTGTCGTTCAAGTGAAAATAGCGAAGAAGATGTAAAAACCTCTTTTGTGACATGTTACTTATGCGGCTTACATGGAAGTTTTGATCTGTTGACCCGTACAACCTTAGGCTTGACAGGGTATGGAAGCCCAATATCAGTAGCATACCAAAAAACGCTTGTAACTCATCCCGTTGTAAATTCAAACCAACTCCTTTTTGCGCTGCATACCTGTTAGATTCGGTAATAATCATATAATATACTACGTCCGAGAATATTGCATGAAAATACTGCAGAGGTGAATCGATAGTTTCATCTGTCAATCCCACTATATCTTTGACACCTTGTGGTTGATTACACTGCACAACAAATTTTAGTTTTTTAATTGTATCTTGTGGGAAAAGTGCACTTCTTTGTTAATTTTGGGGCGCTGAATCCAAAAATGACAATGAAATAAAAAAATTAGTTGCGGTTTAGAAAAAAACTTTTTATTTTTAAGGATATATTAAAAAAAAGTAACAAGATGGTACTTTTTTCCATTGTTGAAATATCCTGATGAAAACGTTCGCCGTACTCATCACTTACGGCTCCGCAATTGTCAGGAAAAAAGTCCAGGTGTGAGTGTAGGAAATGTATCTTAAGAGACATATTACAGCCCATCTTTTGATACGATGACAGCATATTTTTGACAAGGGTTTTATAGTTGTCAGCTTTTCTATTTCCCAAGAAATTAGTGACCACCAGACGGAAATCATTCCAAGCAGTTTTTTCAATACCTGTTAAAGTGTTTTCAAACTGTGTATCTTTCAAAATATTTCGAATCTGTGGCCCAACAAAAATACCTTCTTTAACCTTTGCCTCACTTAGTCTTGGAAATTTCTGACGCAAGTATTGAAAAGCTGACCCATCTCTATCTAATGCCTTGACAAAGTTTTTCATTAGGCCCAATTCTATATGCAGTGGTGGTAATAAAATTTTTTTCGAATCTACTAATGGCATATGCTGTACATTTTTTGACCTGGCTCTAGGAATTGACGAACAGGCCAGTTTTGTCTGGTGTAATGAAGTGCCTTTGCCCGACTATCCCATTCACACAAAAAACAGCAAAACTTTGTGTAGCCTAGCTGCAGCCCAAGTAAAAGTGCAACAACTTTCAAATCGCCACAAATATGCCATTGGTGCTCATCGTATTTTATGCATGTCAATAGGTACTTCATATTGTCATATGATTCTTTCATGTGAACTGCATACCCTACAGGAAGAGATGGTAAAATATTTCCAATATGCAATAACACTGCCTTTAAACTCAATGTTGAACTATCTATAAACAATCTCCATTCTTCTGGGTTATAGTTTATATTTAAATCCACCAGTAAGCCGTTAATGTTAGTGCAGAAAACCAAGTTATTCTCCATATTGAAAATAGTTCTAAGTCTTTGTGGCGTTTACGAAAACACATACCGAAACATCGTCTTCTAACAAGTTCCACTGCTGCAGTCTTGATCCAAGTAACTCTGTCTTACATTTTGGAAGTTCTAAATCATTTACAAGATCATTTAATTCTGACTGTGTTATTTTGTGCGGTTGGTGGCATGACGTGCTCGGTATAAAATCAGGATCTCTTAACGTTGATGGCATATCTTCTTCATGACGAATCACTCGATCGCCATGATCTGATTCGTTTTCTGATTCGCAAGTGTAGGATTCTGGGGGTTTTGGAATAGGATTTTCGTCACTGTGAGGCCCAGGTCTCATCGCAGATGGTATGTTTGGGTAGTTAATAACCGATTTTTTTTCTTGGACATACTTACCTGTGGCTTGTCCAACACAAGGTACCATGCAAAAGTAACAATCATTAATATGATTTGTAAGCTCTCTCCAAACCATTGGGACAGCAAAGCGCATAGACCGTTTTTTGCCATTTAACCAGCTCCTCAGACTTGAAGCACATGTATTACAGGAGATGTGGGGTGCCCACTGTTTGTCTTGATCACCTAGTTTACAACCGAAATAAAGCTGATATGCCTTTGTTATTAGTGGAGTAATAGACCGTCTCTGAGACGCAAAATTCACATTACCACACACGTAACAAAACTGATCTGGATTGTTTACACATGCTGTCAGCCAACTGAGGAAAAAATGGCTAATATAAAACAATATAATGTACACGTATGTATAACGTAACACAATCATGCCGATTACATCATCTTCCTTGCCGAATATAAAAATGTAGCACGTGCATTCTTGTGAATTACAGTATATTAGCACTGTCACAGCAGGAACACATATACATTTTTTTTTCTCTTACGACAGATAAAGGTAAATGGTATTTGCGATCACTATCTCCGCATTCACTGCTGCTTATATGTTGGAGTTCGACTTCCCCAGCGACTTCTTGCGGCATGAACGAAGTACTATCATTAGACGTGACATTTTCATAAAAGTCCTCTTCATCTGTCTGTCAATCACCAGCAGGAGGAATGACAACAACATCAATTATTTTTTGAGTTCGTGAGGAAGCAACCTTTTCTAAGGCCGGTTCCAAACACTTATACCGTCTAGTGCCATAAAAACATGATGCAGGAACTGCTCGTAAGCCCGTAATATCCATTGTTTACTAAAATAAGATTTTTCACATAACATCTAATAACAGGACATTAGCCCACTGTACTCATATGAGTACAGTGATTATTTTTACTTACCAATTTGCGTATTTTGGAGTTTTGCTCTACAAAAGTGATAAAAATAGTTCAGTTGCACTTACAACAATCCACAAACACCAAAATTAGCTCATCAACACTAAAAAACGGCGTTTCGTAAATATTTTCATTCATTAACCTCAAGATATGCGTCAAACACTTAGGGAAGTACCGAATAGAAGACCTACAGAATAGCCAATATACATTTTCAACCCAAACACGTATCGACATCTATCAGCTAATATACCAAAGGTTCGACATAATGAAATGTTTTGTTTAGTGCTGGCTAGATGGCAGCAAAATACAGTTTTGTAAGCTGTACCCGTCTGAGTACAGTGAGCGTTAATGGGTTAAAATAAGGCGTATTTTATGGAAAATTCGTTTTTTTTTTCAAACTTCGGCCATGGCGTTAATGGGTTAATTCTTTTAACAGTAATCTCGAGCTTTCGGCACGCTATGGAGCCATCATCAGGAGCAGAAACTCTAATATGAAGCTAGCAACCAATACGGAAAAGATTTAAATTTTCAGACAACTTACTCGTCGCTGAGGTTGCAACCAAATGGTGTGTCAAAACGAAAGCGTGGATGAGAGCACTTGTTGCAATGATAAAACGAAACGGACGGACACATTGGGTTTTTTTGGTAACGACGGAACCTATGATTAAGTGTTAACACTATATATCAATACACCCGAACACATTTGAAATTATCGAACTGCAATTTTGGGGAAAAACACGGCAGAGTCCCTTCTAACCTCCTACATCCGTTTCACGTGGAGATAATGAGCGAAACCGAAAGAGTGATGCGTCGACAGATGACAGATGACTGTCGCGAAGGAATGTGGAAATGTAAAAATCATTGCCAAATTTCAGGAATAGTGTATACGAGGGACACTAGAAACAGAAGCTCATCATATTTCCCAAATTGATGGATTAGTTTTGTTTTAGAAAAGTGTAATTCATATGAGTGTAAGATGGTGATACACGCTTGAAAAGATGGGTTGTATGATGATATATTAATATATTTATTATTGTTGTGAGACATTGGAAACAACATTTTTTTTTATTTTTGTTTCAATTAACAGATAAATAAATGGAATTTTGTTTTAATTTTGGGAGGATGTTAGATCAACTAGATATGTAGTCATTCTAACTTCTCGCAATTCAGCAAGTAAGAAGTAAGAATAAATGACACTAAGCTGCTTAACACTAATACTGCCATAACTCATAGAATGACCTGTGGTGTTAACATGTCACTTCTGTGTGAGGTTATCCTGCCTTTCAGTGATCTCGATGTTTAGCCTATGTAAACTAAATTGCAAGTGTTACTATTAATGCAGTAGACAGAAGAAGGCTTAGGCAGAACTATGAAGAATTTCAAACTGTGGCTGCGCTGAAACAGGCGCTGGTGAACAAATGGGAGCAAATACCCCAAGCTGGTTTAATTGAGTCTAAGGCAGAGAGGATGAGAGCTGTTATTCAAGACCGGGGAGGAAGTACTCGTTTTTGATAACCATTTCTTATTACCAATGATGTCTCTGTAATTTTTAAGTTAGATTGTTTACGGCTATGATTCGCATGATTTCTTCAAAACAGCTTATATTCTTCAATAACTGAGATATTGACATGCATAAAAAAAAAGACCTGTTGAGAAAAGTTGAGGCCTACAATTCTCATACGAAGACACATTATTCAGTAATCCAATGTTTCCACAGGGT